ATTCACGTATTTATCCAACCTAAATTCAAAACTACCCGAGGTTTTAGCTTCAATAACCCTACTAGGCAGACTGTTCCACTCATCAACTACCCTATTTCCAAACCAATACTTTTTCCTATATCCTTTCTAAATCTAAACTTGTCTAATTTGAAGCCATTATTGAGGGTTCTCTCTTGGAGAGAGATCCTCAAGACCTTACTAATATCCCCTTTATTAATACCCATCTTCCACTTATACACTTCGATCATGTCTCCCCTCATTCTTTGTCTAACAACTGAATGTAATTTAAGGGTCTTCAATCTTTCTTCATAAGGAAGATTTCTAATGCTATGTATTAATTAGTCATTCTATGCTGAATGTTTTCTAATGAATTTATGTCCATTCTGTAATATGGAGACCAGAACTGAGCTGTGTAATCTAGGTGAGGCCTTACTAATGTATAAAGCTGTGAGTCATATTTATTTGTAGAAAGTCAGGTGTGGGAAGTATGGTAGCCAGCCAGGTCAGCCCACCCCATCCTACCCACATGTAATATACTACAAAATTTAAAGTGCCCCAGATCGATAAAATACCTATACAGTACATTCATTAATTACCTTAAAATATTTGTAGTCTTAATGTAAGGTGAGAGGTGAGTCGTATTTATTTGTAGGAAGTCAGGTGTGGGAAGTATGGTAGCCAGCCAGGGCAGAACACCCCAACCCACCCACACATAATGTAAACAAACAGATAAGATAAGATAAGATTTCGTTCGGATTTTTAACCCCGGAGGGTTAGCCACCCAGGATAACCCAAGAAAGTCAGTGCGTCATCGAGGACTGTCTAACTTATTTCCATTGGGGTCCTTAATCCTTTGAGGGTCGACAGGCCCTCTCCGAAACTCGTTCTCAGGGTCGGCCAAATTTCAAAAAAAAAAAAAATTATTTTTTCTTATGAAAAAATAGAGTATTTTTTTCTAAACATTATAGGCTAAACAAAAAAATTTTAACGTCAATACTTACCGAGATATGGAGGTGTGAAGTTTGCCAAAATTGAACAACATATGGTAACATCGCCGACTGCCGTCACCCGGTATTTTTCTATTTACTTTTTTATGTACTATTTTTAATTATTTTTCAATTTTTCTTTTTCTGAGTAACTTTTATGGCCTCTGAGGCCAACATGATCAGTATTTTGAAAGTTATTTCTTTTAAATTACTACACAATAAGGGCGTAAACACTGTTGTCATTATTTTGTTTACAGAAAATATTTAAAAAACAAACAATATGAAATGTTGTTTATTACTATTTTTCTATATTTTATATACACATATACAGTCACGGGACATGTTTCTAGAAGTTCTGCAGCCCCTGTGGAAGTCTTTAAATATTGGTGTCATGCACATGGAGTTTTGCACTCCTCACACATAAAACGAGTGTCTCTGCGTTGTTGTGGGCGTTTTTTTGTATGTGAACAGACGTAACACCTCTTCTGAGCCTTTTTCTTCAAAGCAGTAGCAGGCAGTTTTCCCCAGGAAGTGATCACCATGCTTCAGACGAGCAGGTAGTTGTTGATAATTTGATTGGCGCGGTCAATTGCAGGTGCATTTCCTTGGTACTTGAATACATTTGTCTGATGACAGACAAACAGAATTCGCCGTACTGTGGTTTGTTTCTGGTGCTCATCTTATACATATTATAAGCATTGAGCATGGAAATGTCCAGAAGATGGAAAAAACAGTTTGATGTACCACTTATAACTCTTGCGAACACAACAGCAAACCCAATCTGCATGTCACATTGCCCACTGAACGCATGTTGAAGGTGTAATCAATCACAGCTGCAGGTTTTAAAAGGGGTTTTATTTCTCTCTCTATGCTGCCTGCCACTGTCTGCCATTTCTTTTAGGGTGAATTGATGACAACAGTGTGACATTCGTTTGTCATGCCCCCGAATTGCCATGATGTCATTGGCAGCAAACGCCTGCACCTCACCTCTGCGAGTGCCAGCGTCAAACCTGGGCATATGTTTTCGATTGCACGCACTGTGCCACACACATCTGTCATGTTCACTCGCAAAAAATCACTGAGTGAGGGGCTTGTGTACCAGTTATCTGTAATTTTATATGCCCCTTACCAAGGTATGGTTCTATCATTGTTCGAACCACATCACCTGAGATGCCAATAACTTCCTGGTATTTTGCAATGTATAAACTTCCAGTGTACACAATAATATCCAATACCAGACCACTGTAACAATCACAAAGCACAAACAACTTTATACCAAAGCGTTTCCTCTTGCTTGGTATGTACTGCTTGAAAGAGAGTCTTCCTTTGAACAGAATAAAAGGGACTCGTCAATTACAAGCTTCCTGAGGGATAAAAATGAGTACTAAAATTTCTGTTTCAGATACACAAACACATTCCTAATCTTATATAACCTGTCAGTTCTGTCAGGCCTGGTTTTATTGAGAAGTGAAGCATACGTAACATTAGCACAAATCGATTCAATGGCTTTATATCACTGAAACCTGGTGTTGCAATCAGGGGTTGTTGACCAGTGTGATTTCACTTTGTGCATTATACACATGTGGATAAGCTTTATTTTTGGCAAAGAAAAGATACATCTCAGCCACAGTTGCCTCCTTCCATTGGTGTAGACGTGATTTTGGTGAAAGTATTGTGTTTGCCATGGTGTACTGTAGTATTTTGTTGCTTTCCATGACAATTACTTTTCACAGTGGTTCGTCAAAGAATAACTCGAAACATTCCAGTTCAGTGGCATTTTTCCCCAAGTGCACAAGATGGCCCGTTTTTTCCACTTTGGCTGCCATCAAACTGGTGGGGATTTGGAACAAAAATTGACAGCTTCCTGCCAATCCCAGGTGCAGTCTGCTGGTGGGTACTGGACAATGACAGGGGTGGTTTGGGGGTGGTTTTTGGAGGTTGTGGTTGTGGAGGTTGTGGTTGTGGAGGTTGTGGTTGTGGAGGTTGTGGTTGTGGAGGGGGTTTTGGTTTTGTGGAGGTTGTGGTTGTGGAGGCTGGTGTGGTGGGGGAGTGGGGGATGGTGGCCTTTGTTCTAGATCAGCTGAGGCAGCGGCGTGGGTGGGCAGCGTGGGTGGCAGCATGGCCCATGCTGGTGCCCCACCGCCGGCACCACTACCACCACGCACATTTTCCATCCCAATTGCACAGTTTCTTCGTCATTTTCACTGTCTGTTCCTGTTGTTCAGCCCCGGGATGTACTCCGAGATACACTCCTTCCCTTGGGGATAACATATGGCACACTTCCAGAGCGCATATATCGTCGTATATACTGACGCTTTTACTGGGGAATATTGCACTTCACTATCACACTGGAACTAGTTTGAAGAGCTTTTAGTTCATATTCACTATCACTATCATCACCCCTGCTCTCATCTGAGTCTGGGATTTGGGAAAATAGAAGTTTCCTCTTGGGTTCTGGAACAACTGAACGTGAACACGAGGGCCCAGCACCAGAGGTGGAAGGCTGAGGGTGTCTGGGTTTTCTTCACTATTACCGATATTATGGTCATTGTTTCAGTCAAAACCTCACTAAAACCACAAACTCATCTTCACTGGCACTTCCATCACTATTAGAACTGTCATGGGGAACAAATTTTCCCCAATTTGCCCAGGAGTGAGGAGCTTCTTACCGCGAGCATGATGGACATTGTTTACTAAGAGGCATTCCCACAATGCACACTGGGTCCCAGATTTTTTTTCTACCGCGCACACTGACCACGCAGACCCATTCTCTCACACCTAGGCCTACCAACCTTTTCGCGCGAGATTTGAGGCCGCTAGAATTTATGCGTACTAGTACGTCAAAAACCCCTACGCGTAAGACGTACTAGTACGACGAAAACCCTCAAAGGGTTAATCTTGTCCCCCAGGATGCGACCCACACCAGTCGACTAACACCCAGGTACCTATTTGCTGCTAGGTGAACAGGACAATAGGTGTAAGGAAACGTGTCGGAATTTCCACCCACCGGGAATCGAACCCGGGCCCTCCGTGTGTGAAGCGTGAGTTTTAGCCACCAGACCACCGGGCATCTGCTTTTGGTTGATATATGTTCATTCCCATGTCTGTGAATCTTATACATAATACAAACACTTTGCATTGTGTATAAGTTGTCTCCACATTGATACAGTAGAATAAATAAAGAGGAACACTCCTATTCTTATGTAACACCATTTTTAGAAGGAATGATGCTCTGAGTGAAGGCATATGAAAGGAATAATTTTCTAGTTACCCCCAGTAATATTATAGTATACACATTTTCTCTGATGTTGGACTAGAGAAAACGTTATTCTTGCCGTCACTCCTACAAGTCACCTGGCTACCACATCTCATTTATGTTAATTTATTCTACTGTGGGGTGTATTTATCATGTTGATATGTTACATAGCATGTTTATTATATAAATTTTGAAAAAAATGTCACAGATGGATTAATGGAAATGTCTATATTAACGTAAAATATGACATTTAATGCGCCCAAGAGATTACATGTATTATTATTAATGTGGCATCCAGAGCAGGGAGACTCTTAGTGATTTTAATGTGTACCTGCATGCTAATGCAGTAAGTATACGTATTTAGGTACAGGTACACATAAGTTCATACAAAATATGCAAAACCACTTGAAATTTTGGAAAGTTTACAGACATAATAGAGAGATGTGCTCACAGAGAATGTAAACAAACCGGGTGGGGTGTGACATATTAGAAAGACAGGGGGAGCCGTATAGCGAGGTCTGGTCATAATTTGAAATCGCTGTACTAGTGGAATACTGTAAAGCAGTGCCCTACTGTATATGTATATTTATTTATTTATTTATATAGTATATACATTAAAATTGCAGAGAATAGCTGTGACTCACTTGATACTAAGTTTTATTAAGGCTGTTAGTTGGACACTAACCCATATTTATTTTATTCAGTCTTTTTGCAATATCAGCAAGTGCTGAATGTTTCACATACAGGTATGTACTTACCACGATGTCAGAGTCTGGGAGACAGCAAGACAATGAATCTCTTGTGTAGAACCGGCCAACTCTGTCATAACAAAACTGCCTTCTCCTAGTACTGGTGATGTTGGTGTAACATCAGAGCTACACAAGAAGAGACGACCATTACAAAGAGCAACAGCCACTCTACCAAGAGCATGAAGACTGCAGAGTGACCGAACTGGAGATGACTGAGGGGCATCAGGCTCCAGACAGTAGCTGAACACACGACCATAATCTACCATACTGAAAAATAATTCTGTAAGTAATTTACTACAATAACACCACTAATTTCTTTTATAAAGCTTTTATTTACTAAATCAGAGGATTGATATCTATATTGCTTTAGTTTTCAAAGTGAAGAAACACATAAATAACATAACATTAAAATCTCTAAATTATTAAACCCTGGATGTTTCCAGCATTATCTCCAACCCAAACATTTTCTCCCACAAAAACACATGGCTGTGATTGAAAAGGAAGCCCTAAATATATTTTGCTCCCCCCCCCCCACTCCCCAGCTCCCACCATATCGTGGGTGATGGGCTCACCCAAAGCTGCCTTGGTCACGCACTACTATTCCCTCAAAAAAGTTTAAATTTATTACCCTCGAGTTTATTTTCTTTTTAAAAAAAATTTCCCTTTTAACAATGGTTTGAAGAAATCACTTCAAAATATAATAAAAGCAAAAACATTTTTTTTTAATATTTTTTACTGGGGATTTTTATTATTATTTAAAGTTTTTTCTGATGCTTCGTCCCAACTTTTGGGCAAAAAATTGGGAACTGCTGCAAAAGACCCAGTATACAAAAGTCCCAAAACCATGCAAAATTGATTTTCATAATAGCCCCTTAAAACTCAAGCTTTCCCAAAATTTCGGAGAGCCACAAAATTTTTGGGAGATATCATCAAAATAATCTCAGTGAGCCAAAAAATTTAAAGCAACTGTAAAACAATTATTTCCCGATAATGAATTTAAAATATAGACAATTCAAGCACTTGTAAAAATTTTCCGTCCCAAAAAGGGCATGACTCAAAAAGCACCTAAGGAACAGAGCACCCGTGGGTTTTTTTTTTATATTTTAACTGAAGAGGAATTATCTTTTATCATGACCAAGAAACCCGGGAAGCTGCCAATCATCTATACATATATGTCTTGACTCAGCTGGCCTGTATCTTTGTACAAGTAAATTTTTTTTTTTTTTAACAAACTGCCTTCCCCCTGAGGCGGGGGACCTAAAAAGAAAAAAAAGTTTTTCTTTTTTAAAATTTTGTAATTTTACAGGAAAGGGTTACTAACCCCTTTTCCCAGCTTTTAGTTGCCCCTTATAACACCATGCTTATGGGGAAAAAAATTCTGTTTCACTGTGTTTCCCTGTGTTTTGGGGGGAGGGAGGGAATGGCCATCCTCACCCTTTCCCTGCTCGCCCCACTCACGCTGCCGTCACCTACACTCACCACTGCCCATCCCTCTGTCCATTTAATTGATTATTTGGGGTTTGGTAGCGAGGGGTAAAGTACGCTTCGGAGGCTTCTTACTTTTTGTTAAGTCATGGTGGGTCACAGGGTTGTGTGTTGTGCCATGGCCGGGGGGGCCATGCCCACAGGGGAGGCTAGTAGGACTATGTCTTTCTGCCAGGCCCCTTGAGGTGTTGGGACCTTTCCCCCAGACCCGGGCAGTCCCAAAGGGGGAGCACTTGGTGGCGTGAAATATGAACTA